CTGTTCCCCTACATTTCCCCGCCGACGGGGCCCGCCCTACCAACCCACTCTACCTCTGGGCTCACAGGTCAGAATTTGCACGGCGCCCTACGCTAATTGGTCAAGTTTCTGCTCGAGTGGAACCCCACCATCTTCGGGGAATGGACGGAGTACGTGGATGAATACGGCGACGGAATACTGGGCGATAAGACCGACGAGGAGACTTGGCACCCCCAACATGTCTCCGCCAATTCCTGGTCAACATATATGGGGATACGATCCCCGACAGTTGCAACGCCCCTGATGTCAAAATGGGGCAGCCAACGAGCTGCTGCGGCACGGGTAGTGTCCCACCTAACGAGGGCAAACGTGATGCATGCGAGCAAGTGGCAGGCATGCGCGGCCAACCTTGCCGAGCAGCGAGGCGAGTGTCTTCTTCGCCACCGGCTCAGCACCCTACTGCAATACCTCGTGGGAATGGACCCCACGACCCTCGCCGACGGCACCATCGAAGAACTGGCCAACCGAGACCCAGTTCAGACTGCCACGGATTACGCAACCGCGGCCAACTCTCCAGCAGCATATTGGCTGAACAGGGCAGGTGAGGCAGCGGACACCCCCCCCCAGCAGACAGCCAGGCCCGCGAGCAAGAGGCAACTCCAGGCCGCCCTCCCAGGGCAGATGTACAGACTCCCGGCGACGAGGGGGCCAACGACCCACCCGCGGAAGGGCAAGGTTCGCGCGAGCAGGCAGGCAAGATCGAGGGCGAGCAGGACGTGCCCGACTGGGGGGAAGACGCAGGAAGCGCAGCGGCCACAACCAAGGAAGCGAGCCCGGTCGCGAGCCCGGAACCAGCCGCAGACGAAGGCGAAGATGCAAACCTCTTCGATCCCCTAGGTGTTTTCAAGAATGCTCCCCCAAGGGGCAAAGCCTGGACCCCCTATTCGCAGGCCGTCGACCGGGCAGCCGCCCTGGCGCTTCGGAGTGCCAAAGACAGCTCCGAAAGGGGAGGCGGCTCAGCCCGGGATTACACGGGAGCCAGGGACGACCGCACCCTCAACCGCGCGGCATGGGACAGGGGTCGCGACTGGCCCGCCTCGGAAGACACCGAAGATGGGGAAGGGCGTGCCGCCAAATCACCAAGGGGTAACACCACGCGCACGGAGATCCGCGGGGCTCCCTGGAGGGGCGGCAGGGGTGCTCAGCCGTGCAACGAGAACCTGAACGACCCCATGGGTTGCAGCCCCATGCACGGTTGCGGACGTGGAAAGGAACGAGCCCATCCAGGACAATATTACGCGCCTGCGAAAGACGCTGGGAGGCACTTTCAATGGCACCTGGCACGCGCGGGTTCAACGGGCTGCCCTGAGACAGGACCCCAAGGGAGGCAACAAGAGCAAGACCCAAGCTGAACACACCCCAGACGTGTGCGGACTTCCTCGAGGCTTGGAACAACGCAGGCCACGATGCATATCGGATGGACCGTGACCTCGGGCTCGGCGTCAACTGGGCTGCAGTTAGGGACAAGCACATGAACTCCGCGCGGCACGACGCCAACGCACACGCCCCGCGCGACTACGGCAGCAGCGACAAGCCCGCCCCATGGGCAACCGAGGGCCGAGCTGTCGCGCCCGCGGCTGCACTGGACCCCTGGGCTGGAGCCATCGGTGCAGCCACCCCCAGCCAGTGGCAGGGCTGGCAAGAATGGACCTCGCGGAATCGTCGTGAAACCCCATGGACGGACTCTGGTTGGAAAGGCAGGGGCAAAGGATACTCCCCTAGAGGGGGGCGACCCGCTGGTGGGCTAAGAGTGACGCCAACACCCAAGGCTGACGTGTTCCGGACACGGCCCACCTCAGCATCCTTGGCTACGACCTGGCCAACGAAGCCCGCTCCCACTCCCCCAGACACCCTTTGCCCCCTTATCTCATCCACGGCGCGGCTTAGCTAGACAGCCCACACTGGACAAGTGGACCACCATCTTCCTTTTCGGGCCTGACGCGGAGGGGCCCCCCCACCAGCACCCGACATCTCACCCTCTCTGGCGCGGCGGGCCCAGCCTGGCCCGCGCAGACAGGCCCCCCGGGCTCATAAACTTTGCTGTCCGATGACGACAGCCGGCCCGCGCGCCAGGGGCAGGGGGTGGGCCACTGCCCCCCCCCCCCGCCTGCCCGGCGGCGAGCTCGACCTAGCCAGGTCGCAGTTTTGGCAACTGCAGACTTGCGCGGCGGTTAGCTGCGACCCTGGGGGACCAACACCCACCATTACCGCAGAGGCATCAGTCTCCGCGGTGGCAGACTAGCATTCAGCACGGCATGAGGCCCACTCTGGACCCCACCCTTCACGGCCTCAGCAGCGTTCGCAGGACCCACCCATCGATACTTATCTGGAGGATCCAAGAGAATGACCATGTCCCCTGACCCAAGGGTTCGGGGCCCGGCCGAGGGGCGGGGCGTTGCTTCCCCTCGCCCCTCCCCTCTCCGGCCAGGCGGGCGCCCCCCGCCCTTGGCCCCGGGGCCCGCCAGGCGTGCCGACAGACGCCGGTGTTGTTGCCCCCCCTCCCAGGGCCGTCCGTGTCCCTCGCTGTCCGTGGTGTGGCCCCCCACTTCAGCGGCGTTTAGCTGCGACCCTGGAGGCCCACGTGGTGCGCGTTGGTGGACGAACCCGAGTCTCGCGGGGAAGTGCGAAAGCGGTCGGCAGGGTCAGGACACGACGCCCGTCGGCTCTCGCGTCTGCCCCAGCGCAGCCCCCCCCCAGGTCGCATCGCCCAATGGCATCGGTACACTTTGCTCGCACACGCGCCACGTGCCCCGGGAGGTACAGCCAGCTCTGTTTACTCGTGGGCATGCTTGTCCCTGGTTCAGGTTGGCGTACTTCAGGAGGCAGCACTACCACCAGCACAGCTTCCCTTACTCCCCTACCCCGCTGGCGATGCTCACCACGCCAGCTGGTCCCCCCCCCCTCACTCTGAGGCTTGACGCCGTGCCGACACGCACTGCGTGGCTCACAGTCGCTTGGCTCCCCCTTTCACCGGTGGGTGGACTGACGGGTGTTGATATCGCCACGGAGTGGTTCAGCCTTCCGCAGCAGCTGCAGCACCCCAGGCTCACCATCAGCTTTCAGCAAGTTGCGTTGCATCACGGTTCGCGACAGCTCAGCCCCCCTGGCTAGCCCACGTCGTCAATGGCGTTTGGAGCCTGGCGCCCCACCAGCGACTCGCTCCACAGGCCTCGCGCTTGCCCCCACTCAGAACGGCGGACTCGGTTACTCTGGTTCACGTTTGATACTGTGTGGGTCGTGCCAATGGCAGGCACCGAATTCCTCGACATTTTGTCCTGTGCGCGCGCTCGAGCTCCCAGGATGCCCCCCGCCACCAGCTCCCCTTTCAGCTTCGCGGCTGCTTTGTGAGTGGGCCGGCCGGCTTGTGCCTTCTGTAGCTAATTAGGCTTGCCCGTTTGCCTGGACTCCCTGCCCGCCGCTTGCCTCTTCGCTGGCGGCCGCGACCGAAAAAATATCCCCGCCAGCCCATCCAGACAATACCACCGGGTGAGTTGTATTGATGAGGGCAGCGTAGAAACATGTAGTGCCACAGCCGCATTGGATGTCTTGTCTTTCGGGAGTGCGGGAGGGGGGGGGCGGGAATGTGTGTTGTATGAGTCGTCGGAAGGTTCGTTGAAAAGGTCGATTTGGTGCCGTGTTGGCTCAATGGGGCTCCTCCAAGCGTCATTTTCGACGCATGTTTACCTGCCACGGTTATGTCATCGGGGGGGTTCCTGCACCAACATGTTGCCAATGTTTTCCGAACTGGTTTAGAAAAACATCAGATCATATTGCCCCGAATGCGTGAGGAGGAAAGGAGGAGGAGGTGGAGGGGGGGAGGAGGAGGAACAAGGAGAGAGGGGGGAGGAGGTTGCATGCGGCCCTGTACGTGTCACTCGTTGCCAATTGTTTTTCGGTAGGGCTTAGACAAACCAAAACCATGTTGCATCTCGAATGGGAGGGAGACGAGGAGGAGGAGGAGGAGGAGGAGGAGGAGGAAGAGGAGGAGGAGGAGAGGTGTTGGTGGTCCTTGGGGCCTCTTGGCGTGTGTTTGATGCCTCGGAGGAGCCTCTTGGAGTCTCTTTGGTCTCTCGTGGGGGCCGCTTCGGGGCCTCCCTGGTTATGCTGGGCACATCCCTGGTGATGCTGGGCGCCCCTTTGGGTTTTCTTGGGGCCATCTTGGAGGAGATCGATCAAACAAGGGGGGGTAACCAATTTAGCCCCCCATTCTCGGAAGCTCCAAGATGGCCTATTGGGACCGTCTTGGGCCGCTCTTGGGCTCCTCGTATCCGCTCTTCGGGCCGTCTTGGGGGCGTCTTGGGCCCCTCCTGGGCCTCTCTAGTGCCATCGTGGGGCCATGTTGAGGCCCAAGAGGCTCATCAGAAGCAAACAAACGAGAAGCCCAAAAACCTTGATTTGCCTTAGGTGTTTGAAGGATTTGGGCCTCTTGGGGAAGTGCCTTGGGAGGCTCGACGGGCACTCTGAACCCTCTTGGGGCTGTCTTGGGCCGTCTTGGAGGCATGTCGGAGGCTATCTTGAGCGATTTGGATCTATCTTGAGCCATCTTGGAGGCCATCTTTGGCGGTCTGCCGACTCAGGGGGGCCCTCCCTTCCAGGCCCAGGAGGGGGTTGGGAGGAGGGGTAAGACCTTCCTCCGAGCAGGGGAAGGAGGGGTTGTGGCAGAGAGCCGAGAACAACTCGTTAAACCATTCAGCCTAGAGGGCTGGTGGAATTCAGTAGAGCACAGCACTTCAAATGGCGCGTCTCGGTTCATCACAGCACGGCACGGCACAGCCCCTGGCATTGTACATCGCCGCTGCTAATTTGAGCAGTGCAATTGCCCGTCGCCCAAATTTGGTGTCTTTAACAAGTTCCATGCCTCGCAGTTCTAAATCTCTTTCCGGGCTCGTGGGTCGAGCATGATGCTTCCCCAAAGGGGGGAGGGACAGAAAGGTATACGCAGCTTGTTCTTCCAGTGGTGCCGACTCTACTTACGAGCCGGTCGTGGCCGTCACCGGCATTGCCGTCGGCAACCGTGGACGGTTCAAACGGTGATGCAATTATAATCAACGTCCGTATCAAGTTTGATTCAAGCCATTTTGGTATTGGCTCAAGACTGGTCGAAGCGAAGCTTGTTCCCGCCCTCCCACGACCACCCAGCTAAAAAAATCCAGATTGTCACCAAGGTCCCACCGAGATGGCAGGTTTGGTGGAGCCCCCTGCGAACCTGAAGGGGCCAGACCTGATCGAGAAGAACAAGTGGTTCATTTACATTTGCTGTGGAGGCTGCGGTTGGGGAGACTGGAAGGACCCGTTGTGCGGTTCCGACGTCGAGGACCTGACCCAGAAGGCGACTTGCAACACCACGTCGTTGATGAACGATGACGGTCTCTGTGCGTGCCTCAATTTCCAAATGAATCAGACAGCGCAGTGCCAGTGCCCACCTGTGGATGGTGCACCCAAGTGCGTCTGCTTCAACACGCCCCTCGTGCCAGGGGGTGGTATGAGCAAGAAGAAGGGGGATGTCGAATATCAGGCGATTTTCGGGGACACCTGGTGGTACACATATATTTTCTGCGGCGGTTACGGCTGCAATGGTCTGAAGGCTTTGGATCGCCCCATGATTGCAGGATACCAGAAGTTCTTGATTGTCGAGGGGTCCATGGGCTTGAATGAGAAGAACGAGTGGCCTGGGGCGGGCAATGGCATGACGAAGTGCACGGCTGGACTTTGCAGTGGCGACAATGTTTGCATGCAGTCTGTTGAGACGTGCTTGTGCATCTACACTCAGGTGAAGATCCCGCCAGAACAGGGTGCAAAGAAATGCGTCTGCTGCGCGAAGGACATTGTCCCGTGAGACACGCCGAGCGTCGCACGTGTAAACACATTGGGACGGGATAGCAATGTTTCCCGTTTTGACCAGTTTCATATTTTGAGCGGAGAAGGTATCGAAGACATGAGGCCTTCATCTGCTTGACTAATTAGTGTTCGTCCGCGCACGATTGGGCGTCTTGCTCGTTTGGCACGCTACGCCGTCGTGTGGTCGTGACGCATGCTGTGCTGTCGGTGATGGTTGCGGTACTGCCTCTGCTTCGTCACTGGCGACATCGTCATGTTGCGGGCGCGCGCGCGCACCCCATGGCTGCCCGACCGCCGTGCCAGCTGGACCTTTCAGAGCGTGCAGTCGCTCCTGCAGTCGGACCCAGCAGCACGCGGTCATAAAAACCAGAGTCGGGGCGGCAGGTCCGCGGCGTGCCGGCGCGGCGGCGACCCCGGCGCGGGCGTTCGAGGTTGCACGCCGCCAGTGGCCAGGAAGCGGCCGACGTCGAACGATCTGCGACGGCGGAATGCCGCGATCGTTCCAGGCTGAACGATCCACGCGGAGGTAGAAATCAGCGCCGAAGTCATCACGGCACGAATTTGCCCTGTTATGGTTGATCAGTTTCCTCACGTTGTCTGCTGCAGCGTTGGCAGAATGAGTCGTCAGGTTGCGGGACGGAGCCCACCATCTTTCGAGAGCCACGCGCAATGAAATGGTTCGTCGAGTCTTTCTGTGTGCGGATCTTGTGCGCAATGTTTCTGAGACATTGTTTTGGTCTTTGCGATTGTTGCCGCTCCTGCCAGGGCATACCATCTGACCTCTTGCGACCCACCTTGATTTTATCACAGACGCCTACGGCGAATCACCGCCGCCGCCTGTCTTTCAGACACGCCCATGCGGCCCAACTCTGGGCCGAAGTCTGACAAAGCTACTGGACGATCTACTCCCCAAGTCGTGGGGTAACCCCTTGGGGGAACACTTGGGAGAGGAAAAGGAAGGAGGAGGAATGAGGAGGAGGAGGAAGAGGAGGAGGAGGAGGAGGAGGAGGAAGAAGATGAGGCGAAACCCTCGTAGGGCCTTCTGGGGGCTTCCTGGGAGCCTCTTGGGGGCACCTGAGGGGCCTCTTCAGGGCCTCCTGGGGCTTCTTGGGGGACTCGGGGGGGCCTCTGCGGGCCTTAATGGACCTCTGGGCCTTCAGAGGCCGTCTCGGGGCCCTGTCTGGACAGTCGTGCGTCCCCGTGTGTTTTAGGGTGGTGATCTTGGTGGTCGATGGTGGTGGTCTGAGGGCGTCTTCGTGCTCTATAGGGGCCGTCTTGGGGCCTTCTTGGAGAACTATCGGACCGTTTTGAGGCCCTCGTGGCCCGTCTTGCTGGGCTCTTGGGGGTCTCTTGGGCAGTCTTGGGGCGACCTCGGGGGCCAAAGGACCTCCTTGGAGCAAAAGGCGAGAACCCTAAAACTATTGATGAACCTGAGGGGGATTCACGATTTTGGCCTCCTGGAGGTCCTCTTGGAGCCCTCTTGGGGCGAATTGGGTGCCTCTTTGAGGACATCTTTCGGCGGCGAGCGAGGGGGGGAAGTGAGAAGGAGGAGGCCTTCTCAGAAGGCCGCGGGGCTTCCCAGAGGCCCTCCGGCCAGCCTTCTGAGAGGTTCTGTGCGTCCTCAGGAAAGGCTCAGAAAACTTCGCAGAGGGCCTGGAATGTAGCAACACTCACACGCAGCGATGATTTTCCGTCAGCGCGGGCAGCACCTTGGGTCACACCGCTTGTGTCATTACTCCCGCAGCGGGCTCGAGCCTTGAGTCAAAATAGCTACGACAACTTCGCAGAAGACCAGGGGGACTTCCGAGCCTTCTGAGAAGGCTCTCGCTTCCCACCCTCGGACTGGAGGGTTTCTCCGAAGGGCTTAGGCGACCCGTCCTCCCCCTCCTCCTTCTCCTCCTCCTCCTCCTTCTCCTCCTCCTTCTCCTCCTCCTCCTCCTCCTCCTCCTCCTCCTCCTCCTGCTCCCCCTCCTCCTCCTCCCCCTCCTCCTCCTCCTCCTCCTCCTCCTCCTCCTCCTCCTCCTCCTCCTCCTCTT